TAGAATTATTAGAAATAAGGAGAAAAGCACGCACTGTTACAAGAATATATTTACAACTGATGGTTTTAAAAATAAAGAAAAAGGAAGAAAAAACATATAAAGTTCTAAATTCAAAAATATAACAATTAAGAATAAAAAAGTGTAAAAAGTTCCGTATCTGTCGGCAACACTGAACAACAGAATTTATCTTACTTCTTACTAACTTATAATAATATTATAAATTCGAATGTTTAGATGGATGGATGAATGTTGGTTTGAAGGTATCTCCAGAACGGTTGAACGGATCTCGCTGAAATTTGGCATACATATAGAACGTAGTCTGGAAGATCACATAGGCGGAGTCGCGGGCGAGAGCTGTTAATGATATTGTTAGACTTACGTTCCCTGCAGCGCGGTGATGTAGTTCTTGATGATGTCGCGCTGCGCGGAGTATGGCGTGATGACAGCTAAGCTGAGGGCGCGCGTACGCAGCTCCGCCTGCAGCGCCACGCCCAGCCGCGCCACGCCCCACGCCTCCATCTCGTTCACTCCAGACGGACCTGACACACATTCTTACCATCAATACAACAATCTAACTAAAGTAACACAAGTTAATTCACATATAGTTTTTCATTGATTTAAAAAAAAAACTTAACAGTAGCAGACGCCAACAAACATCTGTCGCACGAATTGGTTGGCTCGTGTGGTGCCCGCAGTCCGTGCCCACAGAACATGCCTCAAGTAGAGGCGATTCCGCGTTTCGTCTAATAATTATGCTTACCGGAGGCCTAATTTTGGTCCTTTTTCTCTTCCCACCCTTTTCTTATAAGGAAAACAAGGGATTTGACGGAGGGGATGCAAAAGAAGGGGGGGAAATTTTCTATCTGTGCCCCTACTCTGTGCCATACGCATCTGTAATTGCGGGTGTCTATGGGCAGCGGCTTACTGTTGCCACGATATGATATAAGAAAAATAACTAACCTTGTCCCTTATCTCCACTGGGTATATTAACAATGCAGTATGGAGGTATATTGATGTCGACACGTGAGTTTGTCATAGTCTTGATTTGTCCGCCGTAGAATGCTCTGTTGGGATAGTCTGCGATCTCAGGATGCATGCGGTACTGCTCGTTGAGAAGCACCACTGGATTATCAGACCAGTCCTCGGTGCAGTTCGACAGACGTGAGAACAAACTCTCGCCTAAGCCGTGCTGTCGAGCGCGCTGTTAACAATGGAAAACGATACTTTACATTTTTTCTGTTGAAGAAAAAGTAAATAAAGAAAAAACATCTATATTGATACTAGTTGTCGCACGCGAATCTGTCCATGTGAAAAAAAAACATAGTAGCCTATGTGTTCTTCCAGAGTATTTTCTATATGTAAGCCAAATCTTATTGAATTTTCTATTTTCCTGGTCAGACTATATTTAAATAATCTGTTATTAATAATGTCAGGTTTGACAATTTGTCGATGACAAGGTTACCTGTGAGCAGATGAAGCCCGGCAGCTGCTGCGGGTCCCCGATGAGCGTGACACGAGTCACGTCCAGCGTCAGCGGGACCAGGGTCTCCGGCTCTATGGCCTGGCCCGCCTCGTCCACTATGCACAGCGCTATACGACCCTTTATACTGCAACATGTAACAAAACAATCTTACTGTTACACGCTTCATTGTAAAAACTATGGTACATATGAAAACATAACAGTGGTAGAGCCCGCTTTAACATCTTCGCACGACTTGGCCCGGCTCGCCCGGTGAAATACCACTACCACAAAGAAGACAGGCGTCAAGTGGAAGCTATTCCGCGTTTCGTCTGATGAGTGTGCGTCCCGGAGGTCTAATTTAGTCCTCTTTGCCTTCCCAACCTTTTTTTTTATAAGGAAAGGATGGGAAGTGGAAGTGTCCTTTCCGGATGAGAGGAAGCATGGAAAGGGAAGATATTTTCTTTATGTGCATTCTCTCCTCCGTGGATTAAAGGTAGGCAACGCATATGCAATTGCGTATGTCTATGGGCAACGGTCACTTCGCTATATCAGCGATTTCAGGTGGCCGCTCGCTCTATTGCCACCTTATGATATAAAAAAACATAACTAAAATCCCTTAGTAAAACATAGCTAATATTAATATTACATTTTTTTACTAATATTATAAACTAGCTGTCACTCGCGACTCCGTCCGCGCAGAATTAAAATAAACTTGATCGCAGCGTAATGATATATAAAAGCCCAAAGCCTTCCTCTATAAATGGACTATCCAACAAAAAAAGATGTATGTAATGTTTATATTGCCCTGTTACCTTTTCATCTTGTGACTCTGCGCGCTGGAGAGCGTGGTGAGGATGATGTCAGCGCCCTCAATGATGCGCTTCTCCACGTGCTGCAGCTGCTCCGGCCGTCCGCCCCCACACCCACCACCCTTGTCACCGCACAACTGACAGGCAAGTAATTTAAAGTCAACTTACCGAAATCTCTTTAATGTGGTCACTGAGGCAGGCCAATTGGCTTATTGTTTATGTACTTTATATTTTACTGAGACTTGCCATCAAAACAATACAAGAATTGTTACCTTTAATTTTTTCAATGGCAAAGAGAGATAAAAATAAGTTTTTATACAAATATTTCGGCTGTGGAATTTCAGTAAATCGTAAAAGTAAATCGAAACAATTGTAACATTGGTTTAAAATTAATTCTTAATTGCCTTGAAGGTAGGTGCATAAAATTACAAGTATGGGTATTTCATGTCTTGTTGGCTCTGAACATCGCATCATTATATATATATATACATATATATAATGACCTTGTCAACATATTTGTTCTGCGCAGTCACTCGTGCGATATATATATATATATATTGTTCATATATTGATGATAACCAGATAAAATAATTACCAGAGCTATTCTATTGTTGAGGTTTGCGATGCGAGTCTCGCAGTAAGCGACGCGCGATGGATCCGACTGCTCTACCAACTGAGACCGCAACATGTTGATCTTTGCCTCAATATGCGATATCTAAAAATTATTATTTCCTTCAAAAAATCATACGTATTCGTCAATTCAAATAAGACTTTTTAGTTTATTTTAAGTGTATTTTAATGTCTTTTCGTATCTACATTGTAGAACAAAATATTATTCTAGATTCTAAATACTTAATAAAAACATGAATATTGGATAAACAGTTGAACAATGTACGATAAGATAGTACCTACTTGTGATCGCATTATTTCCTGGAACTATTTATATATCATATTATGATTAATTAAAAACATAATCGTGTAAATATAACAAGTCTCATTATATAATTACACAACCACTAAAATTACGACATAGTCGTTGCTATGACTTCCGCCAAATTTCACTAAATAAGTAATTTTTTAAAGATAGTTCATAAAATATTTACAAACAAAAAATGACTTTTCCCGACTCTAGTAGCTACATTCCGGTTTCGGAGCTCTTCTTTTCGGCATAGTTAATAAAAATATATTTATTATCGCTAGAATGACGTATAAAATTAAGACAGATGACAGTTGACTCTTGGAGCTTCCTACTTGGGAGCGAGTTTCCATATGTGTATGGTAACATGGAATGGTGTAAAGTGTGAGTTACCTCTTCAGCGACACCGGGGTTGGTGGGCTTCTCCCTGCTGCGTGCGTCACGCTGCGCCAGCTGCTGCGAGCTCACGTCACGCGCGCGAGGGTGCATCGATTCTGCCCGACCCACGCGCACCATACGGAACCGTTCCTCTGACAAATAAACCCACAAATACAAACTTTCCAATCATAAGATATACTATCGAAAAGTTGATAATTGTATCTCTATGAGAGTCCCTACGACACTAAGGGTACCACTTAATGATTATTTTTTTTTATCTGACCTTGTGAATACTTGATTGTGCTTGTCAGACTTATACTTTGTCAAGATTATGACTCTTAGACTTAACCAATTAATCTTGGATTTAATCTAAATATACATAGTAATTGCAAACAGATTGAATATATGTAACCATATAGATTTTTATTAACGCACAAATATTTCATACAAGCATTCCAGGTAAGCCTTGAAAAAGATGTGTAGTACAAGACAAGACAATTGTGTAGTGGCAAGATTGGAATCTACAAACGCTAGATAAGTAGTCCCTCACCCTTAACCATTACGCTATAGGCACTTTAAAAGCATAACATATATATTTTTTAACATATAAATAGGTAAATATTTACTTACCTTTAGGCATATCTTTTCTTATATGTAACAATCTAAGTACCAATTCATCAACTGCAGCATTACTTGTAGCACAAATTAATATCTTTCCCCTGTTCAGTTGTTTCCTGCCGGCCGCGTTATAGAAATATGTCATCACGATAGCGCAAATAACGCTCGTTTTACCTAAAAAATGTGAATATGAATATTATATGGAAGCATAGAAGTTTAAGTCATATAGCATAAATTTATAATGCAAATAAACACCTTATCGCTTACGAAATTAAGGTTATAATTGAACCGAGTGTCATCTGATGAAGTAAACTCGTTCAAACCTGATCCGTAGAGAATTTGTTATTTAATAATTTGACGTGAAAAACGATGTTTTAGAATAGATGGTAGTTTTGAATTTCGTGGTTCGGTATACGAACAACGTAGGTAGCTCGAATTATTTGTATTCTTCCGCACATGTAGGTAGTTTAAAATCCCTTACTGCTACGATATAGCGCGGTGCCTGAGGGGGCTTGTGCGGGGAAGAAAGCGGACACAGTTGAGAGTCAGCATCGCGACTAGACGGAGTTAGACTGGAAAGTCACACATCGGGCTTGTCGGTTTTCTAGCATACAGGGTCGCTTAAGTTTACGGTTCTGCGTTCGGATCGAGGACGACGCGTCTATTGCGAGTCTTTATGCTGTGGATCTGGTGCATCAGGAGCAACATCGCTGGCGCCTTTAGATTACATGATAGTGACTTGACTGGATTTAAACCGACAGGGAGACCAGGCACCTAAAGGCGCTGAATGGGGCGTCGAGTTGGTAAGTGCCACATAATGATATTACTCTAGTAGTCTAAGGGAGTTGTATCGCGGGACCCGAACCCGCCGTAAACGACCCAATTGAAGATCTAAAATTCGTACAAGTTATTGCTCAGATCACAATGTTGGGTGTGTTGAGGCGCAGGATGCTGGGGGAGGGCATTACGCAGCAATAACCTTGAACCTAAGATATTTGAAAAGAATAAAATATTGTGAATGTTTGTTACCTGTGCCGGGAGGTCCCTGCACCATTTGTATGCCGGGCCGGTCCCCGAGCGCTGCCGTCACAGACGAACAAACTGCCAACTTCTGACTTGCGTTTAGAGTAACCATCCACTAAAATAAATCGCAAAAAATAAAAAAACAAATTTTTATCAAAAAAAAACAGAATTTAAAAATATAGAAAAAGTAACTATTTTGTACGCTTTTTATTAATTAAAATATTAGCAGATTTTTTGTAAATTTACTATGTTATGGTTTACGACAATAGTCGAATGGCGGGATTCGAACCCCCGACCTCGTGATCGGAAATCCGTATCCTTAACCATTAGGCTATTAATGTATGTATTAAAGATATAACAATAAAAAAATGGATGACATACTTGAGATTTTAATTCATCGGGTCTTAGTTGATTCAAATTAATAAAATAATGCGGTCTCGGTCTCAGAATTGATTCGCTAAGTGGTGATCCACCTAAATAATCCATAGCTTCAAACAGCATTAATTCCTTATTTATATAAGCTAGATTTTTACCACACAATGTTTGACCAACTCGTAATTTGCCCATCTTTTCTGAATACATACCACACAAGGAAATTGCAAAAAACGAGTTTATATTATCTAAAAGAAAAATCAAATATCAATATTATGTTCTAACTTTTTAAAATATATTTTTTTAAATTTTTAACATACTTGGCGGTGAAGGTAGGCATCTTACGTTATTCACAAAAAGCAATCTATTGCATTTTGCTGTGTCCACTCCAAATGAAATCATTAACACTTCTCCCACCCTTGGAACTAATTTTACTGCTTTAGTTGGTAGTGAAACTGAAAAAAAAGTTGCAAGTTAGGTTTCGAACTTTTAAAAAAATAATTAAAAAAAATAATAAAAAATAAAAAGAAATCTTACGGTTAACACTCATATTGTACATTTCATGAAATCTCTCTTGAGGTGGAACTAGAGGTAATGAATCGATTTGCATTTGTAATTCAGTTTTTTCTTTTTGTAATTTCTTATAGCCTTGTGTTAAACATTCCCATATCTCCATAAGAAGGAGGTCACCAATTAATCTGTAATAATAAATATATTTACAAAGACAAAATAATTACTGGCCAAGACCAAAAAAAGTATAAATTAAAAAAAAATCCTTACTGCTTATATTGATTATGGTCCGTGAATGAATGGAGTACAACCATAGGTTGATTATGATCTAATATAGGCGGAGGATCATTGTTGAATAATTGTTCTTCCAGCCAATTTCCATTCCAACGTAGAATCTTCATTAATTTCTGTTTTTCCAATGAAAATGCTGGCATATGTCGTACATCCAAAAGTGTTGATTTTATTAAACTGGTTCTCTTTAGTTTATTGCCAGGTTCAATCTGATATACAAGTACTTGTGGACCTTTATCATTAAAACTTACTTTTTTCTTTATCTTTTTATCTGATATATCAGATGTCAATTTGGAAGACATAGGTAGGACTTTCGAAAATGGTTTACCATTTTTTGTATCATCACTCCCTTTTAATGGTTCAACATATTTAACAGATATTGGTTTATCGGAACCACAAGATTTATCTGATAGATGAGTTGATTTTGTATTGTCTTTGATTTTGGTAGGATCATGTTCTTTTACTTTATTACATTTCTTATTTTCATCTTTATTCTTAATGTGAGAATGTTCATTTTTCTTTGAATGTTTTGTACTGTCTTCTTTTTTAGGTTGATTTTCTTTCTTCGATTCTGTACTTTTAAGAGTTAATTTATTGATGTTTTTAATTTTATTAGTTTTCTTTGAAGTAATTTCAGTCGAATCGATATTGTCAGTTAGAAATACGCCTCTGTTACATGTTGTTACTTTTGCAACAGCTAGAGGTACGGTTGTGTTATTTATTGAAGAGGCTGTAGTTGTTTTACTTTCTCCTTTTTCTTTTAAAGCTATTTCTTTAAGTTTCTGTTTCCTTTCTTCTTTTTGTGCATCACTGATTTGCTTTTTTACCTGCTGTTTTTTCCTAGAATCTTGTTTTCGTGATCTGTTATGCTTAATTGTTTTACCTAAAATAAATTATTTATAAGCTATAGTTTAGAAACACAAAAATCATTGAGATGTTTTTTTAAATTTAGATATTGACTAGCGAGCGGCCGCGACTCCATTCGCGCGGTATTAAAATAAAAACTAAGTAGGCTGTATTTTTCCTGACTAGGTTCTATGTGTATGCCAAGTTTCATCAGTCCATTCAACTGTTTTGGAGATATCTTCAAACAAACATGCATCCATCCATCCATCCATCTAAACATTTGCATTTATAATATTAGTAAGATAAGACCAATATCTACTTACTTTTTTGACTAACATATTCCTTTTTTGACACCGCTGCTGCATGTGCAATCCTGTGTGTTGGTTCAATTAGTTTAATTTTTTTTATTAATTCTTGATTATTTTCAGGTGATTTGCATGATGTTGACTGATTGATATTGTTTGTATCTAAAATAGTGCCATCAGTTTGATCTTCATTTTCTTTAATCCCTTCTGTATTATTTAAATTGATGCTTTTAGCATCTATATTTGTAGGTTTAAAGTTTATGTTGTTGCCTTTAACTACAGTCTTGTCTATGTTACATTTTTCTTCAACTTTAGCAGTAAGTGATTCTTCATAAAAATTATCTTTTTTAGTTTCTATAGAAGGAAGCTTTATCTCTTCATCTTCATCAACTTCTTCATCAAATTCATAATTATCTTCATTTGATTCTAAAATCATAAAATCTTCAATTTGACTGTATGAATTATTTGGTTTTGTTTCTTTATTTTGAACAATTTTTATAAATGGCTTCCCTGGTGAACTTTGAGACAATCTTAGGAACCATTGCTCTGACTCACTATCATCATCACTACTTATTTGAATAGGTTCATCATCACAACCTAAATATTCTTGTTTAACTTTATAAGCTTCAAATTGTATTTCATCATTTTCTGCATTAATATGGTCATCATTTATTTCATCATTATCAGTTTGAGGCTCTAATTTCGTCTTTTTATTTGTAGTTTCATTTGTGAATATTTCTAAATCACTATCAGATATGCTTATGCAATCACTTTCTAAGTTAATAATATCATTTTTTTTATTCGTCGGTTTCTTAGATTTCGTTCCAGTTAATTTTCTTTTTAAATCTTGTTTTGAGTTACCACTGGAAGTGGCCTTTCCATCGAGTTTTGTATTGTGTAACTTCTTGATAGAGCTTTCTACATCGTCTTCGAGATTGTGTTCATTTTGGAATTGTATTCTATCGTATATAGGTGTATGTGACTTTACTTTGATAAGTTTATACACATATTTTTCATTGTCAGGAATTAATGCTAATGGTGCCCCTGGAGTCCAACCTAATCCAATGATATCCAAATCAAATATGTCAAAAGGAGTGTTTGGATTGATTCTTTTTAATCCAACAAATACTCCATTAGAGCTCTAAAAGAAAATTATTTACATTTTAATTACATTTTTTATTATTACGTTAAATTTTCTATCAATTAAACCTAGGAATAAGAAGAAACATATTTTAAACAACACAGTAGACAACATTATAATGGTAAAAAGGAACATTTATATTTTTTAAACCATAATAATGTTCATAAAGTAAAATATATAAGCATTATAATAATTATACTACGTACTTTTAAATCTGTGATGATGGCTTTATCACTCTGAAAATTAATGATACAGTGATTTCTGGACACCACTATGCTTGATAGGGTTACAGTGTTGGTCAAACCCCTGCCGATTTTAACTTCATCTCCCTCTGAAAACTCTAGTTCGTCTGCAGGTTCACAATTTTGTCTAATTAATTTCCACTTAGCCATGTTTATAATTTAAAAAAATACATAGCACTACATATATCTTGTAATAAACGTCCACTGCCTTGAATCCATGGTGTGTGCCGATCACAAAAGTTAAACTGAACAAGTATCTTTCAAATTATTGATTCTGATCTTCCTTTTAATTTATAGTAAAAAACGAAAATATTGATTCAATTTCGGTTATATTTCAACTCCGGCCGGTGCAGTGACTGACATTGACATATCTCAACAACAAAGAACTAACCAAAGACAAACCCGTGCTGCCATGGTTGCCAACTGCAGACTGAGGGCTGAGGAAAGAGTAGTTATGACACCGAAGATTATGATCTTCGATTGTTTGAAATTATACTAGGCAAATAATCTGAAAGAAAATTCTTTAAAAAAATGCTAATCGCCAACCAATATTTGGCTGTTTAAAATATTCCTTTGATTATAAAAAAATTAAGAATAAAACTAAAAGCGCGTCCTCCATGTAGGGATGTGCTACACGCTAAATATGGATGATTCCAATATAACTTACTGTTGGTTTCTGAGCCCAAATCTATCTTTATATATCATTATCCCTGTTACTATCTTTAATAAAATAGATATAATAATATTTATTAAACGAGGATATTGATCTTAGAAACCAACGATTAGTGCCGTAGTATAAAACATTACACGATAAGTTAATTAGTCCCTCATTACACATTTTTCCATCTGTTCACAGTTTAATAAATGCCTGGTACTGGTAAAAATTAGACGAGCTTGAAGTTCGGTTTGTGTCAATACATAGCTATAGAGAACAGATCTTACGCGTTTTTTGTGTCTTTGCTATTTGCCAATAGTACAGCTGTCTCGCGGACACGAATCCTTTTGGGTTCTTAATATAGCAAAAAAATACCTATATACCAACCATAGGTACATAAAACATACAAGTCCCGAAGGAAAACTTTTCATTTTGTTATTTTTAATTATACTATACTTGGTTTAGTTTTAGTATATAGTTTATAGTATTATTTTGGTAGTTTAATTAATTAGTCATTTAATTACTGTAAGAATGTAAATATAATTTATTTTAGTTAAAAATATATATGTTATAATAAAATTCAGCAAAATATTCAGGATGCTTATACTATAATAATGAATGATATTTAGTCATATCTTTCACGTTTTAAATTAACTACTTAAATTTGGTCATGACAATATATCTAAAAATAAATCAGAAGGTCCTTTGTAAAGAATAAAAAGAAATTATTTATGATACACACGTATCTAATAATAATATTGAATTGCTCAACAATGTTGAATTGTGATAGGTCCGTCCAAGAATAAAGTTTCAACGCATTTATTTTTAGTGTCGCAATGATCTAATTTATTATTAAACTATAGTTATTTTTGTACCACAATAGGTGTACCAACTGCGTTCCTAGCCAGGGAACTTCAGGCTACCCTAAATAAAGCGTGATTAGTACTTAGACCTCGGTCAATAAAGCTGACTCGGTATTGATTGAGTCACTTTACAAGTATCTTTGAATTGGTTCTATGATATGTGCGAGTGTCCGCATGATGTTTTCCTGTACAGTAAGAACGTCATAAGGAATGCAGTTTTTGCCTCTTATGTTTTAACCCTTTGCTTTGTTTATTGGTTTTATTAAGGTTAATTATTGGTACTCGTAGACAAAGCGTTAACTCAATCCTGTGAATATACCTCTGAATCCGGAATCAATGGAATGGTTTGAAACCTAATTTAAATGTTGACTCTATTATAATTTCAATTTAAAAGGAATTCTCATTTTTCATCAATGTTTCTAAGAACCGGTCTTTGTCTTCTCCTATTTATTAATATTTCAGTCTTTTAAAATATTTTATGCCTTACCATTTCGTATAAACTAGATGATTAATCGCTTTTAAGTCTGACTTTCTGGTCTGTATACAAATATTTTTCTTACTCAATTATTAACTATGAGAGTCGATTGAAAGAAATAAGTAGTTGTTGTGGTGTTGCGCAGAGGAAGGTCTGGGCGGGCGGCTGGGCGGGGGCGGGCGGCAGCGGGCGCAAATAGCAGCGCAAAGCGTCGAGCGGCGAGCGGCGAGCACTTACACAGCCGACGTTAGTCCTCTTGCGAGCTCCGCACAGTAACTCGTGTGTCACCGCCAGTTCCTCGCAACAAACAGAGCTTCGTCCTCCTGTGTTAGTGTCGCGCGAAATATTTAAATGTCGCGAATGTTCTAGTGATTTATATAAATAAGCTACCAAGACCACGGCGGTGGTCGGCTGCAAGAAAGAAGCACGTGACTCCTCGACGAAGAGCTGTTCGATTCCTCCTCTCATCCTCAGCGACAAGGTCAAACGGGGAGGTAAAATTCGTTGACTTTCATTCATAAGTTAGTTCGTCTCGTTCCACATTCATTATTTAGAATGAACCTTTAGGAAAATCGTGAAAAATCTTCTTTTATATCTTGTTTATGTAGGAAGTGGAAATTTTTAAATACCTACAAGAAGCTTTTGTTACCGTGTCACAGGAATGGAGTTCAATATTAAGGGCGCGCCTTTGTGTATTTTTAATTACAGTAAATTTGCATCGATTTGTGTAAGTGCATGACACTTGGTGACCTATTTTCACAAGCACTATACGAAAGCTCGACGTTTGGCAATAGTTGGGCACGTGCGACAAAATGGTACGTGGAAATGTTACTTAAGATATTTAAAGATTGCATGAAAACGCGCAGCATTCAATACAAAAATAATACAAAGCCAGCTGATTCCTGGGCTATCGGAATTTTACGAACATTAATATGTATGTCGCTGTCGTTTCTCGGCTACAACTATATACAATGTTGTAATCGTAGTACATAGCGTATTTAAAGCAAAGCTTCCTTATAAATACAATGATAATAAAATTAAGTTATAATTCTTTACAAAATGTGATAATGTTCATCAAAACATTTAATTCTAAAATAAGTATTTACATTATTTAATAACTATCAAGAACAAGTTTTATTAAGCATATATTTTATATACATAATGACTAAATATTTCTAGATTAAATAGATTTAAGTTAAATCCCTTAAAGACAAAACTGAAAATGGGTACTAATTTTAAATTATCATAGTCTAATTACATATGTATTGCATCATACAATCATTCGTATATTATTTTAAGCAGATAAGATGTAAGGTCAGGTCAAGATTTCATTGATGTTTTTTCCTGAACACCCTTTTGTATAATAGGATTTTGCAACGACCCTTTTCCCGGTCTCTTTTTCTACATTCGCACTTATTATGTCTATAGATCTTTATAAGAGCTTTAAGCTTTTTTTAAGCTCTATATAACTTCCCTATAAATAATCGTGATATTATACAATTTTACTCAAATTAATACTTACAAAAATTTCCATTCGCCGTGGAATATTATTAAACCCTTCCTATTTGACATTTCCTCAGGTTTGGGATAACCAATTAATTTTTCCTTCCTATTAGTTTTCTATCGTTTTTTCAAAAAACGAGTGATACGGTATGTAAACTACGATACACATCTAATAATTTTGTCTACGCTAGTGTCTGTTTGTTTTCTTCAATAGCTGTTCCGTAATAAACATATGTAGCATATTTAGTGAGTTGGATCACCAAGTAGTAGCAATGAGCACTGCCCTCTATCGACCAACAAATAGAGCTGAGCAAATAACACGGTTTCCACTCCATTCATCGTCTGTCACTCCCCTTCTGTTTGCTTGTTTGTTTTGGCATTACGCACGACGCTAACTGGTTCCAGTAGACGAATTGAGTGCAATTATACAATTATATTTTAGTTTAGTTTTAACAATAACATTATTTGTTAAATATAGTATAAAAACCGACTGACTACCTTACATATGGGTAAAAAGTATAGACCAAAGACCTCGTAATTTGAAGTAATGAAACTGCATAAACATGCAATTACAGCCACAACTAACCCTTAATTTGTAAATAAAAATTATTAACTACTGAATAAAATTCTACAAGGTTACGCAATAACTGAGATTATACTATTATGTATTCGATAATAACTTGATTACATTTTCCATGAAACCTACACGACAGGTTAGCTATTCGTGTAGGCATTAAAAGAATATTTGTAAATAACTATGGCATATTGATGTTATATATTTAACTAAAGACCCTGTGTTGTTGGCGTGTTGCCAGGCCAATTAATCGACAGCAATTAAATGCTTTCATTAATTAATATTTAACAATAAATCTTTTTCAAATTGTTCAGATTTAACACTTTATATAAGAGGATAGAATATCGCGTTTTATAAATAACTGTTAATAAAATTTAGTTACACAAGTTATTCATAATTAGCCCTACTACAAAACTTCTTAATGGACGTATAATAAATATCTAAAATACTTGATGGTTATATTATGCTTGTATTTAACTGAAATTGAATAATCCATAATAATAAACCTGATAATGATGGGCAAGATTGAATGCAAGAGACGCGTTGGACGTAGGAAAAAGTCATGGCTACGTAATATTAGGGAGTGGACGGGGATTAGGTCAGCGGAGGAACTGTTTCGCCTTGCACTTGACAGAAACAAATATTCCAAGTTAGCGGCCAATCTTCAAGACTGAAGAGGCACTAGAAGAAGAAATAATCCAAAATGTAGTATTTAACTTCGAAACTCAGAAGTCGTTAATTTATCACTTAAAGAACCTATTAGTTAATAAGTTACCATTAAAAGTGGCAGTAAATCACGTATAAACGTATCTTGTATATATAAAGACGAATTACTTGTTGAAATGAAATGATATTTGGAAAAGACTTCACAATATTCGGTGCATTGTTATGCTTTCTTTTACAAAGCAAGCAGCCTGATGACCCACTTAAAGTTAAGAGGTCCTCAACGCTTAGAACAAGAGACACAAAGGCGGTTGATTGCCCACTCTTTGGTGCTACAAATCGTATGCCAACTCAAATTGTATTACAACTTACAAATTTGATTAATAATTTAAAGAAGAAAGAAACTATTTATCTTTTTACACTACGATAATAATTACAAAGATATATTTTAAAACGTAAAGTAACACAAATGATTAAATTACTCTTTAACTTCTAATGGGGTGACGTGAATGCATGTAGACTAATTAATTTTATAATCTTATTTCAAGCTTAAGTTATTTAACATTTAAGTAAACCTCGACGTTTATTTTTTTTATTAATTAAAACACATAGTTATATGATTAACTACTGACTTCACGCTAAATGAATGCATATGTACATGTCTAGCGGCGTAAGGTAAAAAAA